AGGGCAAGGGCAAGGAGGGCAAGGCTGAGGAGCGGAGAAAGATAAGGAAGGAAGGGAAGAGAGAGAGAGAGAGAGAGAGAGAGAGAGAGAGAGAGAGAGAGAGAGAGAGCAGAGAGAGAGAGAGAGAGAGAGAGAGAGAGAGAGAGAAGAGAGAGAGAGAGAGAGAGTGAGTGTGTGTGTGTGGTGTGTGTGTGTGTGTGTGTTGTGGTGTGTGTGTGGTGTGTGTGTGTGTGTGTGTGTGTGGTGTGTGTGTGTGTGTGTGTGTGTGTGTGTGTGTGTGTGTGTCTGTCTGTCTCATATGTGAACTAATTACAAGCTAAAATAAAGACATCAATGAGCATCACTAAATAAAAAACTTTTATTTCCTTTTTCATGTATAGTATAAAATACTTGTTTCATTTGCATAATACCTACTGTAAAATATAAAGTACTGTCATAATCTACATCACATGAATGATAATGAAAAAATGATTTATTTAACAATGGGACTATTTACCTGCTATTCTCTACAATATAAAATTGAATTGTAACGAGATGTGTTCAACTACAAATTAGAGCATGTATGATTCTTAAAAGTCTTGCCACCTCACGACTGAGTCACCTGTAACAACATAGCACTGGAATTTCTATGTCTCTTGTACTTCATCTGACAACTTTTCCTGATTAAAGCCAAGCTGAGTCACATCTGTATCTCTCCGTTCAACACAAATGTATCTGATCAAATTTCGGGGAAAAAAAGAAACCACAAATCTCCTTGTTCTAAAGAAACCCTACTTTAAATGCAACCTCTGATATGTTGTTCTCATAATCAGGCATTAGAACAATTACTTCAACGAAGCCAAGGACAAACACCTTATCTCTGCGGAACATCCATTAGGTCTCTAAAACCAGAAACAAAGACTACTACAGAATGCACATAAATGCAATTTTTCATTCAGCATTTTGATACACTGTAAAAACCAGCCATGGTAACAAAGTATGCAAATGACTAAAACAGTATAAAGAAATAAGTTAGGTACATAATTCTATCCCGGCCGACTGATATCCACAATAATCGAACGACAGAAAGGTGAGATAATGTCCAAGCTCACTCAGAAAGGCCCCTTCGACCTGACCAATCTTAAGGTATAAAAGCAAAACCATTAATGACGGTTTCCTGTCTAGCATTAACCTCCCTATACACGAAAGTCAACCTCAGTCTTCAAACATATTACACATTTGATAAAAGGCTCAATACGAGCCATGTCTATATTCACTTCACAATATCCAAGAAACTCTAAACCCTTACCAGAAATATTGACCATCTATAATATATTGCAAAATAAGAACCATAACTTTTTGAAATAGTATTGCTAAACATGTAACTCATATCTAAAAAAAATAAGGAACTACATTTTGAATGACTTTGCAAAAAGTGCAGCTATTGCTTGAGTCTTATTCCCATTTTGTCGTCTAAAGTTCTTCAACGGCCTGAACTCTAGTGAACCCAATTTGCATAATTTCTTGAATATCTGACTCGGAGAAGTTGTCTTGTTGAGCTGTAGCTTCTGGAACTGCGGCAGGGGCTGCAGCAGGGGCTGTGGCAGGGGCTGCTGCATCACTGGGGGGGCTGGAAGACTGCTGTTGCTCTGCTGCTAGAATGTTAAACAAACCTCATCAGAATAAAAAAATACAAACTACTGCCACAGAAGTGTCTGGGCCGTAAACCTGATTTCTTCAACATTCTCTAAGTAAAGCAGATAAAGAGCAATTTTTGTCATAGCTTCCATGCTTTTGGTATTTTGTAACCCATAGTCACCATGTTGTGTAGCCCCAGATGCAGAGAACCACTTGCGCCACCTGAGTTACCTTCCTTGGAACTAGCGGCCAGAGCTTCGGCCAATGCACGGTCCTCTGACTCTTTGGCTGCCTTTTCTGATTGGCGACGAGCCTCCTCCTCCGAAAGAGAAGTCAGAGGGCACAGTCTGGTAGTTCACTTTCACTTAGGAAGGTTGTAGCTGTGCCCGTAGTCCCAATGTGCAGTTTATTGTTTTTCAAGTCAATGCACATCTTTTTTGTGAGAGAGTAAAAAAAGCAAATGTTAGGGTTAAAATCTCAAGGCATTCTAAATTTTTCGCAGAATATTTAGAATTATATACATAATGTACATATTCCACTACCAGTCAATGCATAAATCTGTGCATTTAAAGATGTGCATACACATTCATGAGTACCATTAGTACAGTTATGGTGTTTCTCACTTGTACTATAATTGAGCATCTTGCTGTCAAACCTTTCAATCCGTATTTATATGCAGATGCAAATATTCTAGCATTTAGTTTAGAAAAATACTAAGGACTAAAAACACATACAGGCATGTACACAACACACACACACAATTGAATCCTAATATACTTATAAATAATAACCTGACAAGTTCTATCTTACAAACCTGATGTCTTTTTAACATATCCAGCCCTAAAAGCATGTCCATTGGCTGTTCTTCCAGTATACTAAATGAGGATGCAAGGAAGTCATTTTCTATCTGTATCTGGCCCATGTGGACACGGCCAATAATCTTCTGAGTTCCAACACCTTTTGCTATGCCAGCCCATCTGGTGTCCACCAACCTCATTATGTTGCATCTCTCTGCACATGCCTGAGACATGATAGTGGTTTGTGCACCTGGAAGGAAGCCATTAAGTTAATACACTTAGCAGAAATGGGGAATATATTAGTGTGCAACACACGATATCAAATAGAATGTCAGTCCATGGAAAGCCCATGAGAAACTGGGTACTCCCCACCCCATAAAATTTTGTTATGAATGAAACATATGTAGTGTCCATAAAAATCTCTGGCACTGTTTAGCATACACATTTATGCCTCTGGTGAATGGAACGTCACGTGAGAATTAGCAATTCCGGCATAATATGGGCTACTTCATCCAGTTGAGTCTCTTCTTATTTCCTCTCCTATCAAATTGCACATCTTATTGTTTTATATGATAAAAATAGGGTTATTAGGATTACATAGATCTTCATTTTCTTTCACACATGAGAGGTGACTATAACTTTTCCAAATTTTGTGCTCTACTGACAATCTTAGTATCTGAGATGAGAATGAAATATACATTTTGTGGTGCATAAGTTGAACTCTTGAAATGACTGCAACCAAAATTTGCCTTAAGGAAAAGAAAAGAAAGAGATAAAAAAAAAATCAGAACAGACAAGCTGGAGGGTTTGTGGTTCTTAAGGGTTAAAGTACATTCTTATGCTGTTGCAGTAACATAACAGTAACATATGCGGAATAGCACTTTAATATCAAATTCCTAATGCAAGGAATCAAACTTATAATAAGACACGATACTATCACATACTTTAAGTGCCAATAAAATACAATTCATACTATATATGACAGCATATTAAACGCATCCACCAACAAAACTCCCATCAGGTCTTGTATATAAAGGTAATGCTGCTTTTTTTTACCCTGAATATGCCCTAAAGAAATGGGAGCGTATCTAACATGTATGTAACTAAGCATGTGATTGCGTGTGTGTGTGTGCATGTGTGTGTATCCTGAACCACAAGGAAGGGAGAACTAACCTGAGTCAATGAAAGCCTTCACATCATGCCCATTAACCTTGCAGTTGATGTAGAGCATATGAACGGTGCCAAAGCTCTCTGGGTTATACTCCATTGCTGCTTCCATGTTGGCATTGATGTTCTGAGTTGGAGGCGGAACATTAATGTAGTTCAGGTTTCAAATCACTGAGTAATAATCAAACACTCCAATCAACCAAGAAGTCCAAAACAAAATTACCTTACATATCTATGTACATACATACATATGCACAAATATATGTATATACATACATAGATATGCACAAATGTATATGTACATACACACTTTCAGGCATACATATATACTCTTTCTCTCTCTCCCTCTTTCACACACACACACTCACTCACTCACATACACACTTATACTCACACACTCTCACACTTACACAAATACTCTCACACACTCGCACACAAACACTCACATTCTCACACACACAAAAAAGTAGTTCCCTTCAGGTGGTCACACTCTCACGCACCTCTTGCTGAATTTCATTTGCAATGAGCCTCTGAGCTTCCATATCAAATGGATCTGCAGTAAGCAATCGAATTCTCTGTCTTTCACGATCTCTTCGCATCTCTTGTTGTTCACGGAGCACAGAAGCAAACTTGTCTGCCAAACAATTACATAAAATAAGCTCAATGCTATTCCACTCCCGCAAAACCAAAAACAACATCAAGAATTCTATATCACATCTTTCCAATCATTATGCAACATGTACAGTATGAAGCTTCCTTTCCAAGCAGCAGCTGGAAATCATCAGCAAAACTAAAGCAGGAAACATATTTAGTTTACCTACCTAAGTCTCCACTTGTGAGAGCTTCTGCAAGCCTGGGATTATTATGGCGCAGGAGGGCCAGCTGCTCAGGGTTGGCCAGCAGCATATCGCGGATGACGGCTGGGTCATCCTGGCCACTTCCTGTTGAGCCAATATTTGGTTACTGGAAAACTTGTACAAAACTTGTGCCTTCAACAAATTCTAGAAGACCAAACTAAAATCGCTGTACAATTTTTGGCTTTCTGTAATATTCTGAATTCTACTCAGAAAGCATTATATATTCTGCTTGTGTGTCTACTATTTATTGTGAAATAACAATCTTGGCATTTAATACTCATATAGGTTATGAAAAAGTTCATAGTTGTTAGTAATCAACCAAAAACTTTTATTTTACAAATTAAACTGGGATTTCGGATTTAGTAAAGCCTGCAAAAACACTTCAGTGTAAAAACCATTACACAGCCACAAGAGCTGACTATGGACAAGGAGACCCTCGTATGGCTTCACTGTCTTTTTAGTTTTTAAAGCCTAAACATCAACCATCAAAGCTGATGAATTTGACTTCCTCTACGGGTATTATTCAGAAACTCGAGGTCAAACTGCAGATCCATTGCTCTCT